TTTGTTGTTATAGGTATAAAGATACTGCGTTTATGAGAAGCATTTTTATATGTATAGATAGACGCATGTTTGGCATTGTGCCAATATTAGCTGCACATTTTCTTTGGCTTGTTTTGCAACAGAATGACTTAAATGTTTATTTGCAGCGTATGGAATGGCTTTGGAGGCAGTCAAGTGCTATTTCGAAGACAACGACCAATTTAAAAAGGCGCCATATTCCACCGACGTAATCTGGAGAACAATACAAGAGCACTTCGGAGTAACCTCCCATTTAGATTTGTTACCTCATTTTTATACGAATTTTAAAAAAGACCACATCGCCGGTCTTTCCAAAAAGTTATCCGTGTGCGCGGGTGAAGGTGACGAACTTTGTAAACATATATTTAAAACGGCGGGACGCGACTTGGCGCGCTGTATTGCGGTCGTAATAGCGAAAGCGTCGGACGAATTAATTAATCGAGAGCACGGTTTGCAGGTGCTTTGCGTCGGATCTGTTTGGCTGAGTTGGGATCTGCTGAAGGAGGGTTTTATACCAATTATAGAAGAGCAAACCGACGTTAGGCAATTATCTTTGGTCAAATTGACCACAACTATGGCCGTTGGGGCTGCCTACATGGCGGCCGATCGGTTGGACATTCAACTACCTAGAGATTATAATCAAAACTATGAAGAATTTTATCGATTTGTGAGAAAATAGTAATAGATCTTTATACGTAAATATTTTATCACTAAGTGATAGCACCTTGAAAATTTAACTCACATTGTGGTTTGTTCATTTTGTACAATGGGCCCATTTAGTAAAAATACCGCCGTTTTAAAAATAACTATAATTTTTTCTTAAAAATTAATTTTGAATCATGTTTTGTTGTGTAGTGCGACATCACATGGTGCAACTTTTTACTGCATAGTGTGTAAACCAAACAAGGCCCGCCCCTGCAAGTTTGCTAGAATTGACAATATGAGCATTTTTTTTAATCTGGTTCGTACACATTTCCTATTTCTAAATACCACAGATCTACACATACATACTGAAATAAACCGATACAACGAAATATCGAAGGATCCTCAGTATTACAATCACTTTTAACGACAATTTATATTAATCTTACATAAGTCATACACTTTATAGTTAACAAAAATGCATCAAATTCATGTCTTGGTCATTGAGATAATGCTCTTAATCTTGCTCCCAACGATATCAGTGCAAGAATAACGATTTTCACATGTTTTGATCAAGATCCATGTGGTCACGAGAAATAGATCAAATTCGCGTTTTGGTCATTGAGAGAATGCTCTTGGTCTTTTTCCCAACGATCTTGGTGCATAAATAACGATTTTGACATGTTTTGATCAAAATCCACGTGGTCGCCAAAAATAGATCAAATTCATGTATTGGTCATTGAGATAATGCTCTTGATCTTTTTCCTAACGATCTTGGTGCATAAATAACGATTTTGACATGTTTTAATCAAAATCCACGTGGTCGCCAAAAATCCATCACATTCATGTCTTGGGCATTGAGATAATGCCCCTAGTCTTTTTCCCAACGATCTTGGTGCATAAATAACGATTTTGACATATTTTGGTCAAAATCTATGTGACCTCAAAAAATAATTTAACATCTTTGAATCACACACATGCGGTTATCAAATGTGCACGTGATGTACTCTTTCAGCATCAAGATAATGCGTTTGAAAGCTTTTACAACTCCAAATTTATGTGTAAAGAATAATTTTGGGTACATTTGGCTCTAAAACTTTTGACATATACAACAGAGAAGAGTTATATTAAATTATTACACATCTAAGAGTCATAGGGAATAATCTAGCGAAAGTCCGAACTCGATACATGACCTAGGGAATGAAATATGTTGATTTCTATTATATTGAGCCCACAGTTTTTCCTGTTCCCGATTCACTCGAAACCCTATAACTTTTGTTTCTGTTGAACCAGCTTCCTGAAAATCAATAGCGTCCGTCCTTAATAGCGTACACCAAATGTCAACACAATCGGCCACTTTTAAAAAGAGTTAGAGCGCACACGGACGGACGGACGGACGACAACACAAAACTAAAGGATCTGAGGATCCTTAATAATAGTAAACTCAGGCAAGTTCTCGATTTTCATTTTTAATTTCGGAATTCGTACGGCGATTTGGACGAAATTTTATGGAGAGATTCTCGAAACGATTTCGCATCGATTCTGAGAATTTCGCTACTGGGAAAATTCGCCGGGCGGCTGGGGAGCATCGTCGCCGAGGTGCGCGGCCGTGGAGAAAAATTCGCCGTTTCCATACGGGTGGGGTTAGGACGTCGGGGATCCGGTTCGAGGACGAGGAGTTTAGATAATTGGCGCGACTTTTGGTAAGGTAAGGTAAGAAAATACCTCCTGCATCCTTCGGGGTAGCTGCCATAAGAAGCGAAAAAATTGAAAATTTTAGAAAAAAATTCGTAATTCGAAAACTAAGCCAAAGATCCTATTGCGGTTTTCTGAGATCTTGGCCGACGTGGAGGAGCGTAGTTGTGCCGGGGTGCGATTCAATTGTATGGTCCCGTTTGGGAACTGCGTGACTCGTGACCGTCGTGAACAAGGCGATTTTCGCATTTTCTAACTTTGAGGCCTTCTACAGGCCAAACCGTTCGAGTTAGAGCGAAACGTAAATTGTATGTGTAGATCTGTGTAAATACGAAACCCGGCGCATCTCGCTTACCATACGCTAAATAATAACACAGTCGTATTTAGTATTCAGACTAAATCAAAGAGTACCTAACTAGTAATTATTCTTTGACTAAATGGGCCCATTCATTGGTCGCACCCACCGCACTTATCATTAAATTTGTACCTATACCTTTTACCTAGTGGGGTTGCAATTGTAATTCTTATAATTAATTTAAAGTAGCCCGTGCACGCGAAGCTACACCTATTTATGGAAAGTCAAGACAAATATTTATACTTGTTTTCCATTTATTCAAGAAATCTGTTTATACTATGTAACTATGCTATCAAAAAAGAGTTGCTATCAAGTCACCTTTGGAATTTTTGTTTTCATGGGAAAGCATATTTAACTTGAACTTCCAAAGGCGACTAGACGTCCATCCTTTGTTGATCGTTCATTACAATTTATAGTGTCATGAGTTCCAAATAGTCTACCTTCTTTAATGCAGCTTAATGTATTCTTCAATAAACTGACAACAGTTATTACATTACATGATTTACACCTCAATTATTATATGATGGTAGCGGTAGAAACCATAGGGAAGATTTGACGTTCAGTCCTACACTGTAACTGTGATTGGTTAAAATACGAGCCAGTATTCCGTTGAAAAATAAAACGAGTCATATATTTTGTTAAGTTGGTAGTATCATTTGCCAACTAAACTGTTTAGCTGTCATTAGCTGTCAATATCAAAGATTTTCAAATTTCAAATCCAAAGGTAAAATCTGAATTAAAGGTAAGAAAATGACGCCAATTCTCGATGACAAAAGCTAAATAATCTAAATGGTCTCTTTTTAGTACCTACACCTTTTTTTAAAATCGCTTATCGCGTTCCACTTCTCTATTTTGTATGACGCGCACATTCCGGAACTTAAACACTTGTACCACATGTAAACACCATGTTATCAATTGTTCTATTGTCGAACACATTATCACAATAGGGTTGCCACATGGCCGGGATTCTCCCGGAATTAGCTGCACTGTCCCGGATCCCGGTTTTTCATATATAAAAATATAAATCCTGGAAAAAAATAACGGAACGTTTTGATTCAAAATTTACACTTGCCCAAACCCGAATACCTATAGTGGCGACACTGCATGAACCAAAAGAAATAGCCACAAACCTCGATCGCGAGATCATGACATACGGTGTGTGTTGTATGAGGTTATAGTAAACTAATTCAACCAATCACGCCGCGTTCTCCAGTTTTTTGTTTAATATTTTGGTTTTTGTTCCAGAAAAACATGCTTTTGTTAAATTTGATTGTCACATCTTTAACATTCTATTTTATTTTTTATAAAAATATTTTTTCTGTTGGTTCTTTTTATTTTATGCGTTAAAAACATGTACCTAGTTGAATTAATAGGTATGACATTAAAAAAACAAATAACAATAAAAAAAACTAGAAACAAAAAACAACAATTTTTGGCCAAAATTATGAAAATGACAATCAAGGTAGTACCCATTAAATTTTTGAATGTGGTATATTTTTACCTGGATATAATGTTGGTTCACAGAGGGATTGTGTCCTGGAATTCAACGCAATCAATGTGGCAACCCTATTATCACACCTGCAAAGCTTTATATGATTCTAATCTTAAAGATAGTTTTATTTTCTTTTAGATATTTTTACGTAGAATCCCAGTGGCATAGTAAAAAAAAATGTTTGGCCCACCGTTTCTGAGATTTAACCCAAAGTTGGTATTTTTTAAATGCAACGCCCTGTATAGCTTAACGTCAATTTCTTGAATTCTTTTTCTTGATCACAGTGATGTATCCGCAACCTATGTTTTTTTTTTAATTTTAGCTATGAAACAAAAATAAAAATTTTTTTACGGTTTTAAAATAGATGACTATGGATTCATGGAGATTATGATTTTTTTTATTGTATTTATGGCAGCAGATCCAATCAATAAAAATGACTGACGGTAGAAACATGTCAGTTCAAAATTTTGAAAAGTATGCAAAAAATTGACGTCAAAATATACAGGGTGTTTCATTTAAAAAATACCAACTTTGACGGTCTGTGATATTATCATTGAATTTATAATTATCCTAGAAATTCACTGATATTATCTTTGGTGTACTTATATGTTATTGTTTATTCCTTAGACTATGAAGTCTCTTTCCTTTTCTAATAATATTCATTAACGAATAAACAATAGTATTAGAACCTTAATGTTAATTGGTAATTTTCTATGCTTAGCAAGAGAACATGAGAGATCGAGACGGGCAAATTCTACTCAGTGAATGTTGGAATATTCATTCAATCATTTAACAGTGTGAAAACCTCAGGAAAACGTTTATTCAGAATATGAACAAATTAGCATAAAAAATGTTTTGATCCGATTACACTTGCTGACATATTTTGTTATGCGAGCAGTATCTCTAAAAACAAGATTTAAGCAGTTTTCTTGCGGATCAAGTGTTACAAGAGCCTCTTCGATGCGATCCTCAACAGCAATGTACATCGTTTTTCCACCAACCATAGGAACAGTATCCGGCAAACCAAGGTAGAGAACTAAATCCAATTCAGATTTGTTCGACCAGTCGTAGTCACTTAAAAGCTAAGGACAAGTGTTATAAAAATCAGGCTATAATGTACAGTGTGTCTCCGGACTGAACAAAAAAGAAAAAATTTTATAAAATGTATGATGCCCCAACATTACAAAGGAGTTGTATGTAGAACTGAACAGTGGGCAGAGGCTGTAAGATACTTGGCAGCTAAAAATAAATTTGTTTTGTACAGGAGAAAAATGTTATATAAAGAATGACACTAATTTTTTTTCCTCTTGTTCAGTCCATTTGGAGAATACTTACAGAATAGCATTGTGGTCCCCATCGTTGCAATTCGTATCGCACATGCTTAAAATCTAAATCTGTATAATTTTTTAATAGAACGAACATTTCATGTGAGAGAAACAAGTCAATAAACTGTCGAATATTGTCGGGCAAATTCTGTTTGCAAAGCACATCACATGATCGTCGGTTTGGAGGACCGGCATGATCCCATTCAAGATCTAAATCAGTCAAATGTACAGTGAGTCAACGTTTATTTTAAAACTTACCTGGCGAGTACAAATCTGCAACCACTTGCTGCCACTGATCTGTTTTTATAAAATCATGCAAAGAGAGTTCCGACTCCTCTTCCATCTGCTTTTGAATAGATTCGGCTGTCTCAGAGTCAAGATAGTCTGGATGTATCCATGATTCTAAATCTAAATCTACTAACTTTGGGTTTATAAATTCTTCGGTAAAGACTGTAGTATTTGAGATTGGCTGTGGTGGCTTCTCACATAATGGGTTTACTGTATGAAACCAACCATTGATGCTCATCCTACAGTCTTCTCTATTGACAATTTCTTCAACCTACAATTAGTCGGTGGTCATTATCTTAGCAACAATTGAAATGGTGCACCCAAACCTAGACCCAAACATCAGAGGGAATAAGGAGAAAGTTGAGTCCTAACGCAATACAATACAAGGCGTTTTTAATATAAATGTAATTGCATTTAATACTTTTAACTTGTTCTCCTTGATATCTATAAGTCTGAGCCTACACAACAAATTTAAATCCCTTACCAACCTGATGATACGAATTCGTAGACACAGGAAAAAATACAAATTGGTTATTGCGAGGATAAATACTTCGAACGACGTCGGAAGGTTCCCCCACAAAGTCCATTTCAAATAATTGTAAAGCTCCCCCACTTTCAGTCTTCCAACTTGCTGGTCCAGAAAAATACAAAACAAAGGCGATCGCTCGGCTACCCTGTAAATCGTCATGTACAAGTAGATAATCGGTATGGGTGTATAAGCTACACGTCGCCGATATGTTTACAAATTCCATGCCGGTCAGATTTTGTATCCAGTCCTTAACATCATTCTTTAAAAACTCATACATGCAAGAAACATAATATGAATGCACGTCTTTTAAATCTTTCGATTGGAAGAACTCGTATAAATCCAAACTTCGTTTGTTCCACTCTATTTCGTTAAATTCATCTTGAATTTTGAGTAGCACCGCTTCATCATCTAAAAAATTATGAACAACACAAACTTTGAAGGGCTCTTTAACTATCTCTACGTTATCATTTACAGCATATTCGCTATTTACATAATTTTGATGAAAAAAGTCAAGAAATGCTGTGGTAGTTAAATCATTTCGAATCGCTAGGGAAGGCTTCATTAATTTTGTCGGCGGTTCGGGGGTTACATACTGCTCCTTTGTTAATTTAGGGTAGTGATCTGAAAGAAATAATGAAGAATTATGGTCTACAGTAAATAAGCATACAGCCTCTAATTGTGGATTTCGTTAACAAATTTGAAATTATCACACAGTCATCTTCGGAATCAGGGTGCTCGCTGGAATTACCAGGAATATCCATGTTTAATTTTAAAAGTAAAATATTAAAATAGAAACTTTTGCGAAAAACTCTTGAAAACTTGAAAGGTGAGGTTATGTACTGTTAACGCGGGATAAATGAGCGCGTTCAGCACAGAGACATGGAGAGAGATGTCTCTGGTTCAGCACAGAAACTTTCAAGGACGCTCCAAAATATGAGATACAGAGCGCGCGCACATACCGGGCACTCAGTAAGGAGCGGATTTCTAATAATGGTTCAGTGGTTTCTGGGTGTAACTCCTTCGCGAAAATCACGAAGTGGGCGGCATCTATTATAATTTTTTGTAAGCGCTTTTAAAGTGAAAACAAAAATACTCCCATTTAATACCGTGTTTATTTGTGGAATACGTACTCAGTTTACTAAATAATTTATTCATGTATTTGTTTATAAACACCGTCGTTTTGTTGCATATATACATTTTGGGAGATGTGTTATTTCCCGTGCCTTATATATTTATCAAAATTTAAATAATTTGAATCTGTTTGGGTTTGTGCTATAACTTGACCCTGTTTGACTTTTTATTATTATTCACATTTAGTTGGGCTTCAAATTAGTTTTTAAAATGCAAAACGTTTATAAAAATAAGTGTATAAAATCTCGCAAAATTTGTTCAGTTCCAAAGTGTTCAACATATTGTGAAAGTGAGGTATCTCTACACAAATTTCCCGAGGATTTAACTTTTCGAAAGCAGTGGAAGATTAAATTGCGGATAGGAAAGCCCATAAGTAAATATATGTTTGTATGTAGTAAACATTTTCGACCAGAAGATTTTATACAGGTGAGTGGTTCATTGTAAACAATTTTGTGTTTCATTTGAACTTTACAGCATCTTCGACATCTGTAAGGCGACGTTTAAAAAGAATGTTTTACCATCACAGAATATACCAGTTAGACCACATGATACAGTGCGAAACCCTGTACAACGAAGTGATAGACCATGGTAAGACATTACACAATATTCCTAATGTGTATAGGTACTACAACGTACCCTGTAGATTACAGTCCGATAATACCAATGTAAATCTAGAAGAATTAGAAACAATGGATCAAACAAACATCGAAGCAGTGGAAGATAATGTCCTTTCTGCAAATAGCGCTCAAAAAGTATTGGAAATTCCATTTGATGTCCCGCAACCACATTGTTCTTTTACCGTTTCAAAAGGCATACAAACAGAGTGCTGTTATTATTATATTTCAATTTTGATACTTACTTATACTCCAATACGTGCGTTTAACAATTGTCTTGATAAAGACTGTTTCCTCTAAGGGTTGAACACAATCAAATAAGCAAATGGAACGAAAATGCAAAAGTAAACAATCACGCGAACGTATAGGAACCGTAGTAAAAGTTTTTGTTGTTCACTCCTATTTCAAATTTTTTGCATGTCTCAACGCCATCTATTGGTTGATGATTTTCGCGAATAGGCACTTTCATTCGGCTACTTCCCGATCATGATTTCAAGATCGTGATTCGTAGGATCACGTTTTACGAAAGAACGCGCGAATTTAAATCAAAGTATGGTTAAGTTTACGGCGTAGTACACATTTGCATTCGAATTACGTATTTTTTGTTTGAATTATGAAAATTATTTAAATATAGGTAGGTGGAAGTACTTGCAGGATTATGCTTCAGTTACAGATATAAAACTAACCTAACATTTCAGCAGAAATATCCTTGCATTAATAGATTAGGAGTTCGTGATCAATAAAGAAATCACAAAACTTTTATGTTCAGTTTGTTCACGATTTGACAACCCAAACGCGTTTGGATCATTGAAAGAAAACGCGTATTAGTATGATCTAAGTGTAACTCCTCTGGTAAGCCCGTAAGGGCCATCTAGGATAAAACAATCGTAATAGTTCACTCTATAAAGGCCCGTTTGTAACGATCACTTATTTAGTCAAATTTTTAGTCCTTTTTTTTCTTCAATAAAGATAAAGCTATCCTAAAAATGTCATAAATGATGAAACTGTATGTAACATTCCATAATATTTTTTTAGTACCTGTAAAATGTAAACATTTGTACATAACCTATGTTATATTAAATCTGGAGACTAAATATTTATCTTCTGTAAACTAAGATCTACTGTCAACGTATTATAGTGAGCTTTAAAAATGAATATAAATTTAATTTTAATTTTACAAATTCTCTATAATCTGTCAAAAGTTACTAAAAAATTGAGGGAAAATAGGACAGGTTCTAAACATTACAAAAATAGGACAACTTTCAGTTCCTAAAATAACTACCAAAAAATTGATCAAAGTTGATGTATGAAATGTTCAATTTTTTTGTTTCTAAAAAAATTATTTAAAAATTGTCTAAATAAGGGATAGTTACAAACGGGCTTAAGTATTATTTCTAATGTTTCAAGGCAGTGCAATTAAATACCTTTACACAATTGTACAGGGTTATTCTAAATGAATACCTCAATTTAATAAATCCGTATTTATAAAAGTAAATAAACAATTTAAATACCATATTGGAAAGAGGAAGTTTCAAAGTTTAATATATAAATTTAACCTCTACGCCAGTAGGTCGCATGGGAAATCAAGATCTGGCTCTAAGCTACTGGCCACCGAAATCTCCCGATCTCACCCCATGCGATTATTATATCTGCTCATGGGGTTACGTTAAGGAGGCTGTTTACGTCCTACCTCTACCTACACTGGTCGATCTGCGGAACCGTATGTACATTTTTGGTGCCATTCACTCATGTAAAAAGAAGTTACCCTTTCTCGTGTGTGGATCGAATTTAGCTACCGCCTAGACTTTTGCTGGGTTTGTTTCTTCTTGCAATTAAGAATTAGAAAAATCGAAAAATACGTTTTCAATGCGGTATTTAAATTGTTTATCTTGAACGTATATTTCAATAAATACCAATTTGGAGTATTCATTTTGAAGAATAACCCTGTATAATAGGCTTCTTTCATATTTGGCTGTAAAATGGAATGGAACCGTCAAAACTTGAGCGTTACGAGTGGAATAATTGTGATTGTCGCCTAGTGGAAGAAAATAGTTCTCGTTCTTATTTATATTTACAAACATACAAATTTGTGTACTGTACATACCCAGAAATGTTAGAATTCGGTTTTTGACGAAAGTACCTTTATGTGACGTTTTAGGCTTTATTCTTCTTTGTAGTATAAACATTCTATTTCTATTTTGTTTTATTTTTTTAACTAATTTTTATTTATTTTTATTTTACTTTATTTTATTTTTTTTATTTATATTATTTTACATTTTTATTTTTTGTCATTTATTTTATTTTATCGATTTGTTTACTCCCAAAAAGAATAATCCGAGCTTTATGCGGTCTACGACTACAGCCATCTATATTTGCAAGTCGTGCTGAGAATTACGGTAACACTGTAGGTAACTCTAAAGTCCCTAGATTACTAAAGTAACGCGATTCATTATCAATGCACTGGGTATTAGAATTGGGTACACACAAGGGTTTTATGTTAAGTGAAGAAGCGATGCAACTATATATTTCTTGTGATGTTAAAGGCTATTCAATCATACGCTCACAAAACTCGCCCTATCCAAGAGCGACTACAAAATACATACTTTCCAATATCGCGGTTCCCAAACTAAGCCAAAATGGCTGGTATTCGTGTTACTTTAGTAATCTAGGGACTTTAGGTAACTCTAAAGTCACTAGATATAGATATATATTGTTACTTTCGGTAACAGTCTTTATTCATTGGTAACAAGTAGTAGAGCAACACCGATCCTGGACCACTTTGACCTTGAGTTCTGCGCATGCGCCAACTCCAAATTTGATACTACTGCGCATGCACCAATTCCAAGGTCATTTGAACTACTGCGCGTGTGCTAAGCCATTGGGTTAGTCACCCCATGGGTTATTGCGCTCGGTGTTGGGGCCAGGTCCTGCATTGAAATTCCCATACGCGTGTTCAAGGTCATTTGGGGTCTCAAAAGTGAAGGCCATGTGTAGGCTTGAAACTCTGCTCAAAGTCACTAGAAGGTCACGAGAGGTTTGAAACTCTGCTAACAGTCACTAGAAAAGTAACTAGGTTTGAAACTCTGCGTCACTCGAGAGGGTTGAAACTCTGCTAGTGATATAGGGGTCGATTCTAAATCAAAAAGTCACTAGAAAAGTAACTAGGTTTGTAACTCTGCTGGCGAGGTTTGCGCCTGTGCTAACGTCAAAGTCAAGGGGGTCGAGGTTTGCGCTCGAGATAAAGTATCGGAGGTGGCCGATTCTAAATTACACTATATTCTAAATATGACTTTGAAGATGTGGTGGGGATTGACGCTTATATAAGCCTCTATATGTTCGTTACAAGGTGTACATGTATTAAAGATGTCGTGGATGGCATATGCTGAGGAATCATTGGCCAAAGCTGTCGATTTCGTAACGGCCGTGAGACGCCTTAAGCAGCATTTTTCTGCATTAGCATTTGATGCAGAGCACGAGGCGATATATGGACGCGGTGAATATAGCCCAGAGGAGTGCCAAGCTATTGCCGCAAAGTATGAGTTAGGAGAGGCAATATGTGACAGTTACTTAAGCTATAAAATATGTGACGAGTGTATTATCCGGAAACTAAGGGATGCAAAGTTGGAGCAGTTTAGTGAACAGTTGCAAGCGTGGAAGGATGAGTCTTCAGAATCCGGTGAAGAGTGTTAAATTCGATGAATCCAATAATAGAACATATGTAATGGTGACGTGGCATTTTGCTTACTGGGCAGCAAGGAAAGGCCCATGGGAAACTGTAGCAGTCGATAGAGTTCGATTCCGACGTAGAATCGAGCAATATCATGCAATAATTTCTCCAGTATTAGAAGCCGATCATCGTTCGGCAATGTATCGCTGTAGATTTCAAGGTCACGAGTTGGAAATATAAGGGTGAGCGGCAGCGATGGTTTCAATCAGTCCAATAGTGTTCTTGAAACAGTTAAAATGGATCTTAACGCACTCAACACCAGTACATTCTGTAAAGTATTCAAAAATGTCAAGGACTTGGAAGTGGGGGAGAAGTTTAGAATTGTGAATGCCGACACCATAAATACAAAATATGGTGATCGAATAGTATTGGAAACTGAAAATTTTAAATGTGTGCTGCCATTACGATTCTATGAATATTTCAAGGAAGGCGATCGCCTGAACGTCCTCAAAGAGTCCTTGAAGACTAGTGATGT